CACACACACACACACACACACACACACACACACACACACACACACACACACACACACACATGCCCAACGCGGACATTACAACACAACACAGCATCGCTAAGCTCTCCGTTCAGGCGGATAGATGTGTCTAGGGTCCGGACCGTACTAGTGGTCATGCCAGTGTGTATCCATTACTGAGTAGGTGTGAAGAGTGGGCGTTATGGCTGTGACAGACTACCGTCTTGCCCTGAACATGATATGCACCCTCATTATGATGGTACCGGACGGGAACGATAGCTTGGGCACATTCATTATCAGGGGGCGTTATGTTCTGGGGGAGACGGTATTTTCCCAGAGGGGTTTGGAACAACAGACGGCTACTGTCTTCACCCAAGTAAAACGGCCGGTAATTATCGCTGCATCTGGACAGAAAGTTGTGCCAAATACAGAGCTATAATGACCGGGCGTTCTATCCGGGTGAAGACAGTAGGATTGGTACAGTCATAATGATAGCTTTGCACACATTCATTATTTCTTTACTGTTCTGACTGATACAGTCAAAATTAGGGTAGGTGCATTGTGTTCGGAGGACCATTTCTCGATTTATGTTGACGACTGTGTTTAACAGGTCTGAAAACGGATTACTTGTAAGTCGTGAGTCGTGACAATTAATTTCATTTTTATAATTTTTTATCATTTTTTTCATTTTTATCTTCTTTTTTTTTAGTTTTTTCAATGACCTTGAGAATTTTAGCTTTGCTTTTGCCCCATTTGCAGGAACCTTTCCTCCTGACACTTACCTGTTTCCTCCACCTCCATTCTTCCAGATACTTTGGGCCTCGCTGCACTACACAGCATTTGAGATGTATCTGGAGATCCTGGTGGTCGAAGTACATTAAAAATGTTTCATCAGTCTGAATGTATCTGGTCCAGCTATCAGTCCAGATACGTGCAGAATGTTGAGTAATGAAACGAGGCTGTTTTTCCCATATTCCTCCATACTCAATGCAAATATTCGAACAGCCGAATGTATCTGGTCCAGGTGTCAATCCAGATACCTGTCGAATGTCGAATAACGGATCGAGGCCGTTTTTCCCATATTATTCATCCCTACTCGATCGCACGATTGCATCCCAGGTTTCCGAAATGGGGAAAAGATAAAAGCCAGAAAAAAAGACCACCTGTCATTTGTCATACGCACTCCCAGTTGATCAAATAGGGGTTGAAATAGGGGTTGAAAGAGGGGGTTGAAATAGGCGTTGAAATAGGGGGTTGAAATAGGGGGTTGAAATAGGGGTTGCAACAGGGATTTGAAATAGGGGTTGAAATAGGGGTTTGAAGTGGGGGTTCAACAAATGATACTCTCCACATGCATACAAATGGCTATGGAGCAAAATCAAGCATCCTACCAATGCTTCCACCATGCCTACAGATAGATGCTCGACCCTACAAAAAAAAATAAAAGGGGGGGGGGGAGAAGAGAGGAAAGGAAAAGGGGGGGGGGGAGGTGGAGGGGGTGTAGGAAATGCCAATCCAACGAAAGGCCTCGACGGGCAACAGTAGAGGGAAAAAAGTCAAAGCAGAGGCCTCAGAAGCCTGGCTACCGTCGTCACCCGAATACAAGGTACAGTCAGTACAGCTGTATTTGGGGTACCTTTCAGTCCAAATACAGCAGTAATGACCGTACATTGTATTCAAGTGAAGTAGTGCCCTTACATGCGGAGAGGAGGAAGGAGGAGGGGCAATGCAGAAAATGCAGAAATCAAAGAAAGAGAAGCAGGAGGAGATGGCCATGATACAAGCCTGTGTGCAGCCATGTCGATACCCTCAGATCAGTCAGGTCGGGAAGGAAGGTGGAAAGAGAGTAGGGAGGGCAAGAGAAGATGCAGAGGAGGAGGAGGAGGAGGAGGAGGAGAGGAGGAGGACTGAGGAACGTAGGATGAGGAGGAATGAGCTTTCAATCAAAGAAGATCACCTCTGGCGGCGCCCCACAACATTGTTTTACTGATTGATACCCACTGATGAACGATGCTTCCAACTCTCTCTCTCTCTCTCTCTCTCTCTCTCTCTCTCTCTCTCTCTCTCTCTCTCTCTCTCTCTCTCTCTCTCTCTCTCTCTCTCTCTTTCCCCTATGCATGCCGCTGCCAAATAATGCTGACATCGCATTATATTAAATTATGTAAGCGCTGATGACCACGCCACGCCTCATGCCCCCGCCCCGCCCTTCTTGTCCCCCCCCCCTACTGTTGCCCACTTTTGCCCGGTTGCTTTATTTCCAGGCATCGACCCGCTCGCCCCTGAGCTGCTGCTAGGTGTGCTTCGATCCGCGTTTGCCTGCTTCTGGCGCATCCGCAGGTAGCCCTTGATGAAGTCGTCCAATCCACCATCCATGACTGCGCCGATATCAGACGATTCGACACCTGTCCTTACATCCTTCACCAACTTGTAGGGGTGGAACACGTAATTACGGATCTGTTGACCCCATTCGGCCTTCACTATGTCGCCCCGAATCTCGCGAATTTCGGCTTTCCTCTGCTCCTCCAAGATCACCATCAATCGCGACTTCAGCAACGCGAGCGCCTTGTTCTTGTTCGCCAACTGAGACCTCTCCTCCGTGCAGCGCACCGCCAATCCTGTCGGCAGGTGCACCACCCTTACCGCGCTTTCCACCTTGTTTACGTTCTGCCCCCCCCTTCCCCCCGCCCTCGAGGTTTGGAATTCAAGGTCGTCATCAGGGATATCCAAGGTCAGAGCGTTATCTTCCAGCAACGGCATAACCTCCACCCCTCCGAAGCTCGTTTGCCGCAGTCCTTTCGAGTTGAAAGGCGACTGTCGGACCAGTCGATGGGTACCCTTTTCTCCGAAGAGGAACCCATAGGCGTTCTTTCCATCAACCTCCAAAGTTGCAGATTTGAGTCCAGCCTCCTCTCCATCCGATCGCTCCACGATTTTCGTCTTGTACTTGTGCGACTCCGCCCATCGAACGTACATCCGCAGAAGCATCTCCGCCCAATCTTGCGCATCGGTCCCGCCCGCGCCTGCAGTGATATACAAGTAGGCGCCTTTCTTGTCGTATGGACCAGACAGCAGCTGCGCGAGCTCGTACCGCTCAAGCTCCACCTCAAGCCAGCGAATGATAGACTCCGCCTCCTCGAGGAGAGCCGTGTCCGGTGCCTCTTCGCCCTCTTCGACCAGTTGCACCACGGTCCTTGCGTCCTCCACCTTCTCCCTGAACTTGTCAAGCTCCCCCAGTGTCTGTTTGATGTCCATGATTTCGCTAAGTGTCCCTTGGGCTTTCGAAGGGTCATCCCAGAAATCGCCAAGCGTTGCCTGCTGCTCCAAGTCAGCAAGCGTTGCCCTCTTCCTTTCTATATCCTCTACCAGCAGAATCTGCTTCAACTTCTCCGAAAGCTCTTCTACGTCGCGACGCAGTCTGTAGAAATCCAGCATGTCGACAGCAGCACCACCATCACTCCCGCTGCCCGGCCCTTGTGCAGCAACTACCAGTCTGCAGCATTTCTGTTGCCAGAGGGGGGCCCGGGGGGCCCGGGAAACCAAAGGCCTCCTCCGGTTGGGACAGAACATCAACTCCTGCGCCAGTGGGGAGCTGGTCGTCCAGAGCGGCGGCGCCGTCTCTGACATGCTGGCGCTCGCGATCTTACAATGACGTGGCAAGGAGCGAGAGAACCTTCCAGGAGATGACAGATCGACCCAGGAGAAAGTTCTGCGAAGGATCGATGAGGCTTCGCTGGACGGGCCAGATCTACTGTGGCCCCTCTGGTCGCCCCTCCATTCTCCGGTGTTCGTGGATGGACGAGAGAGGGGAGCCTCCGCAGAGCAAACGAAGGATGACAACGACGACATCTTCCCGCGCTGCACCCGACGAGAGAGACCGGCTTCCAGAACTCGTTTTCGAACCCCATAAACTCTTGCATATTTGCACCATGGGCATGGGCTCCCCGTCACGACCCCCGAGATCATTGTCGCTCCGACTCCGTGTCTATCATCCAACAGGTCGGGATACCGACCGAGAAGTCGGCAACACCTACCGATCGCAAAAAGCCCCCCGAAGCGCACTAACCTCTCTCTCTCTCTCCTGCGATCACAATTTCAGCCGCTGATCATCGACATTGAGGCGTGTGTGTCAGGGAAGGCATCAAGGAGCCCAGTTTGTTTTCTCTCCTTCACACCATTCAAATGCCAGTCATCTGTCGTCTTCCCCCGACCACAACGCACCCTCGTTCTTAGCTGCACCAGACCGGAAAGATAGCTTGTATACATTCGTAATCAGGGTGCGTTGTGTTCCAGGGAAGACGGTAGTTTGATTTGCCTTGCTACGTCTGTGGCAGCAAGGAAGGAAGTACGAACATTCAAATCCGTTGATCGGACAGCTCAGACAGTCAGATGAACAGATCGCATCGTCAGACGGTAATCGGTGTTCATTTTGTTGACAAAATGCATGGACCACAGTTCCCTCATTCCCAGCAGGCGGGGAGAGAGAGAGAAAGAAGGTGGAGAGAGAAAAGGAGAGAGAGAGAGATAGTAAGAGAGAGAGAGAGAGAGGGGGAGAGAGAGAGAGAAGGAGAGAGATGAACAGAAGATTGACGAAAGATCCCGCATGCCTTCAGCTTCACTGCAAATTTGATGATACCATCATGGATTCCCAAGAGAGCAGAATCACAGTTGGCCACGTAAACTTGTGTGCACACAACGAGAGGCGAAGTACTAACAGTGAGGAGGAGGGGCAGTAGCTCGAACAGCACAGTAGATGAAAAGGGAAGACAAGAGAAGACCCAACGAGGAAGAGTATGCCGGCCAGGGACCTTGCAGAGACAAGTGCAACCGTTGCTCAGAGAACGCTGATGGTTCCTCCAGCTCAAACGTTGACTGACTGGTTCAAGTGGGTGGTCCTAGTGGGTGGTTCTGATACATGGGTTCTAGTGGGTGGGTTCTAGTGGATGGTTCTAAGGTCTTCTCCAAATAGAAAGTAGGGTCATTATGGTTCTAGTGGCTGGTTCTAATGACTGGTTCTAGTGGGTGGTTCTAGTGGGTGGTTCTAATGGGTGGTTCTAGTGGGTGGTTCTTATACATGGGCTCTACTGGTTCTGAGGTATTCCCCGAATAGAATGCAGGGCCATTATCGCCGTATCTAGAGAGAAAGTTGGCCCGAATAGAGCTCTACTGACCGTATGTTCTATTAAGGGAAGAGGATAGTTGATGGTTATAGTGGATGGTTTCTAGTGGGTAGCTGTAGTGGATCAGTTCTAGTGGGTGTAGGGCAAGGAAGGCAGATACGTTGGATTAGTTGCAAGTCTCCGTCTTGCTCAAAATGGACGTTGATTCAGGGCATAACTCATACTTGGCCCTTTTTTTTTCTTTTTTTTTTCCCCATTTCTTCTTTTTTTTTGTTGATGGTCCGATGGACCAGATATTAAACTGATCAGAACAGAACAGATACAGTGCACTTGATCTATTTTTAGCCACAAGGCCAAGAAAGGTATATACCAGGCCTTTTCAAATTATTTTTTTCCGGTGCACTTCCTTTATTGGTGAAAAAAATGAACACCATCTACCTACCACTACCACTACTCCTAAGCCTATACAGGGGACCCCTGCAAGCATAGCTAGGTCTCACAATTAAGGAAAGGGGGCATGCATGCCCCCTAAACCCTAATAGGCGGTGGTCAGGGGAGTAGGAGGGTGGGGGGGCCGCTTGGGGGGGACCGGCACCGGCTAACGCAAAGACCGAGCACTTTGCCAGTAGCTGCGCCCTCCCATCTCCCTTCTCCCAACCCCCATCGAGTAGCAGCAGTGTCTAAGGCCAACAACACTCTCCCACACACCACACACCACACACAACCCACTCTCTCACACACTCACACCCCTCTTGTGGTCATATACCCTTCTAGAATTATCTTCTTCTGTTCATCTGATTACATGTTGATTCGAACTTGGGTCTACAGTGCATGAGTCTGTACCAACTACGCTAGGCTAGTTGGTTCTGGTTCACTTGAATGTAAGAGGGGTGAACGAATGGTTCCGACAAGCACTGAACAGACGACGAATTATGACGTAATTACGGCCAGATACATCCAAGTATGGTCGTGAATACGGTCAAATATATACATTTAAGATTGTGCGAGTGTGAGAGGATTAACGCTATCCTAAGAGGATCGAACGAATGGTTCCGACACGCACAGAACAGACGCCGTATCATGACGTAAATGCGACCAGATACATTTAAGATTGTGCGTGGGTGAGTATGCTGCTCTCAGGGAAGTTAATGGCAGTTGATGATAACTGTTTAATGGCACTAGATAATAACTCCTGTCTTCTCCACTACAGAAGACATGACCATTATCCCAGTATCTGGGCCGAAAATTGCTCTGAAGACATACAGCACCATAACCATCGGTTATCATAGCTGCATCTGGGCCAAAATTTGCCCTAAATAACGCTTTAAAAATCACACCTTTCGCTCGAGGGAAGACGGCAGCATTTGGAGAGAAAAAAAAAAAAAAAAAAGATGGCCCCCCCAAAAAAAAAAGAAAAAAGATGGCCCAAAAAAAAGAGAAAAAAAAGATGGCAGCCACCACCACCCTCAGCCAGCACAGCGAGTACGGATAAAGCTTACTTGTTACAGGGCAATTCGTTGAATCGACGGTGACACATTTTTTGTTATTAAAAACAGGAACGGGCAAAAAAAAAAAAAAAAAAAAAAAAAAAAGAAGAAGAATCTGAGGCCCGACACACTTTTTGTTTCTTGTGTGTGCGTGTATGATGGGTACCGACTCTACTGAGGGCATAATCGCATCAGGACTTTTTCAACTGAACTCTTGAGGTGATTGCAGTCAGATTCATCCAGGTATATGGCCGCAATTGCAGTCAGATACATTTTAGGAAACTGCTAGTGTGCGTATGCCCTGAGTCTACTAAGGCGTCCTCTCTCTCTCTCTCTCTCTCTAATGCAATCTTCATTGTACTGGTGGGCGTATTGCCATATCTGTTTTTTTTTTTCTTTCTCTTTTTAATGCAATCTTTTTTTTTTCTTTTTTCTTTCCGGAATTGACACTTAATTAACAGGGCCCAGTGCCCAAGTTTTTAATGCAATCCTCATTCTACTGGTGGGGGTGTTGCCAGAGGGGTTTCATCTCTCCTGTTTCCTTCTTTTTTTTTTTTTTTTCTTTTTTTTTTTAACAAGAGAGATATTATTATTGAACTGATGATGGCCCTTAGGGTATTCCGAATTATTTTATCATGTCCATCTTCTGTTTCCTTTTTTTTTTTTTTCCTTTTTTTTTTTTTTCTCCCTACCACTACTGTAGTACCTCTGCCAGTGTTGGGAAATTAGGGAAAACTGCCCGTTCCCGAAGAATTGGGAGGTCCCACCAGCAAAGAGGATTGGATGGAACGCCTGAATCTGGACGTGTTTTCAGCACAAATGCAGAAAAGCAGTTCAATCTCGATTTTGTCCACCTTTCCACAAACGCGTCCAGATTCAGGCGTTCAATCCAATCCTCTTTTGCTAGTGGGACCTCGCCCCGGAAGAATTGGGAGCTCCCGCCAGGCTCGGCAAGTCCCATAAATAAAGTTTTGTTTTATTATTTTATATATATTGTCCACGCGTGACAGGGAAAAAAAAAAAAGAAAAAAAAAGATACTTTCTCTACTGCAATGATGTCGGGCAGGGTAGTAGTCTACGAGGCCGTGCTCACAATTAGTAGTTCTCCACAGAATGAATCTTACAGCTAAACGGGTCAGATTCTGAACGTTGTTGTTTTCTTCTTCTTCTTTTTTTTTTTTTTTTTTCCGGCCTCACGATTTGTTTTCTTCTTCTTCTTCTTTTTTTGTTTTTTTTCGGCCTCACGATTAGCAGTTCTCCACAGAATGAATCTTACAGCTAAACGGTTCAGATTCTGAACGTTGTTGTTTTCTTCTTCTTTTTTTTTCTTTTTTTTTTTCGGCCTCACGATTAGTAGTTCTCCACAGAATGAATCTTACAGTAAACGGGTCAGATTCTGAACGTTGTTGTTTTCTTTTTTTTT